TCTGGACTCCATTATGTCAAGCAGCGAGCAGGGGTCCAGGTTCGTGTTCCAACTGTTGACAGCTGATGTTTTTCAGTAAGTCGTGCGGCAGCGGAGGAGCCACGTCCCCGGCCCCACAACACCGCTGAGCCACCGCTGCGAGGGTGACAATGTGTAACAATGGGGGCTGGAAAGATAAAATTGAAGTTGACATGAAAAGCGTGTGACAAAGAAGCCCTACAACTGAGATACCCAAAAAAAATCCCTGAGAAAGTTGCTCGGCCCCTGGCTGATCCCCAAAGAGAGCGACGTTATGCTCTTCATTGAAGAAGGTTGGTGAACGCTCCTCCGTAAATCCCCATGGCAGGCCTGGGATGAAGTGGAGCTGATGCAAGTTGGCACGGTTTTAAAATTCACCATATGTCCTAGTTCAGTTAGGATGTGTTTCTGTTGCTTCATGCTTTTTGCATGATTGATCTGCAAGAGTAATAAATAGGGCACGATCTCTTGCAGCCCCCATTGCAGCATCACATGCACTAAACTGTTGCAGCCCAAATACCTGTGATGAGAAACCTGAATTCCTGCAATTAGAAATGCAAAGGTTGTTCTTGCTGAGCAGTCCGAAATCAAGCAATGCTCCTGACTTTAGAGTCAGTTCAACAAGGTTTGGAGTCAGCCAAGAAACATGCAACAGAAGTGGAGCATTTCCAACATTAGTCATGTCCAGTGCTATTTGCAGCTTTTCTAGATCATCACTTCACCTCAAAATATGTGGGAACCCAGGCCTGAGCACAGGAGTTATGTGCTCATTTTGACCGAGCCAGCTTAATTAATGGTGCTACATTTCCTGCTACCTGCAGCTCCTGAAAGCTCTTTGTTAAGCATAATGCATTACAATAATCCAGTTTTGTCGTGACAAAAATTACTGTTCTTCTGCCAAGGCATCTATTGAGCTGAAAATTGTCGTTCCCAAAGTAGGGGTCACAACCTTCAGTGGGACTGGAAGCCTAATGGTAGTGTAATTATTTATGCTAGTGTAATGAGGCTGATGAAAGTGGGACTTACTGCCAGAAGCAAGCTGAGGAGGTTTTTATGGATCCGACCAGACTATTCCAAGCAGGAACACTTGCAAATCCAAATCCTTTCTCCAGCCCCTGCTTCGGACTTTGGAGAAGCCTTTTTGGGATGGTGAGGAAATTAGTATCTTCAGATGTATTCTGTTTATCTGTCTCTGAATCTGCTAAATTTTAATTCAGATTAGTATCTTCTTCAGCTCCCGTTACAAATATGGAAAGTATTAGAAAAAATTCTGCAGGGTCCTAATTGGTTTCCAATGATTCAGCCAGACAGGACATTTATAAATAGGAAGAAAAGGAGGAAAATAAAGAGCAAGAGAGAGGAGAGTCTTTAGGGCACACACTGTCCATCTCACCCAGCTGCCAGCAGGTTTTTGTGGTGCATAATTGATATCATTTTGTTGGCGAAGAACTCCGTGTTGAAGTGAATTTCTTAGCCTGCTTCCTACCTTCTGGTGCTAGAGTCCTTAGTACATTTTTAAGTTGAACAATTGTTGTTCACCCTTGGATTCTGAACGGTGGGTTAGAGAAACCTTATTTGGAGATAAGCAATGGGCCTTTGCTCTCTCTTTTACCTTTTACTTCTCTGTTCAACACCCGTGTCATAGAGCACAAGGACAGTTGACATAATTTACTATTTTAATTTTTAGAAATTAATAACTTCAATAGTGCTGGAGTTCAGATGTTCCTGTATGCAACGAGGGAGTCAAATTGTCCATTATAATGCCAGAGATCATGCGGTAAATTGTAGATTAAATGGTCTTGGAATGCACAGCCCTCAGCTTTGGCTGTGCCTACAGATTCAGTGAGGTCTCTGTGATGTACGTGCAATTAAGCCTCTACATTGTCTCTGAATAAAATTAAGGGCACTAAAGCAAATTTCAGCACAAGTATTACTCCACTTTTTTTAGCCTACCTCTTAGCAATCTTTTGTCATACACTGGATTCTTAATCACTGTCAACTCACTATACTTTCCTTTTCAGTGAAGAACAGTGATGTTATGCAATGTTACTATGTAGATCGTGCCCTGGTTTTTTCTATCCTATTTTGAGAAACTACATCTGAGTAAAACTACATTTTTGGTGATGCTAAGTCTTCCCCCAGCAGTTAACATTTCGTCTATATTTATGTGACATGACTTTACACTTCGTGGGTTTGGCAGATGGAGGAACGATTTTTCTTCACATTTTTCATATGGCGAAGAATTTACAGGAGCTGGCTTAGCACTAGCAAGCAGAGGAGGCTTTGATTTGTTTACCTAATGTATGTGTCACATATAAAAGGCAATGTCCTTCCACTGTAGTTGTTAATAACTAGCTGTTCCAAATGGATTTGTGCCAACACAAAATCCACCCCCACAATTAGCAGTAATGGGAACTTCAGCTGGCAGCAGCAGTGAAGGCAGTAGAGATTAAATGACTGTGCGAGCTGTCCCTCCAAATTAAAGCTGATGTACATTGGCAAAAAAATAAGAAATCTCACACCACCATTACCCCTCACACTCCGTTCTACTCTCATAATAACTAGAGAAGATACTGCTGTCTGGGACTTGCTATTTTTCATATGCTGTAGATACACCCCATAATGACAAGAATCTGGGTGGCCCGACCAATAAATCAGCTCAAATTACAAAAACCTATAGCTGACTTTCAAATGCTTGAGGATACAAATAACCTTTTGAAGAAGGTTGATTTTAGAGGCATTTGTCAGTTAGGGGCCTGTTACTGACTTGTAGCTGGTGTTGCACATGTTCTTCCAAAAAGTCTGCTTGGAAATTCCACAAAATGACATCCAAAAAATTACTTTTTATTCTGGGTAGAAAATATTCCAGGAGCTACAAAATGTCTGCAAAATAGTACTTGTGGTAATACTTCTGTAGCATAGAATACCATCTTGGTCTAGAGCAGGTTATTATCAGACCTGCAGTAACAACAAACCTTCCCCTTTTTCATGAACCATGGCTGAATGATGCTAATTCCTGTACCAGCAAATGACTGAAAAAAATTAGTATAATGAGGATTTTAATCAGCATTTTATTGTAGAATATTAACTGATACAATACATTATAGGTAAGCCCAAGTTTCTTTAGAGTCATTCACAGATGATTGTCTCATAGTGTCCAATATGATGTACTTTCAAAATACATACTATTTTCCACAGTTTAAATGAACACCTCAGAAATATTTTAGGCTTGGGACTTGTGGAAAGCTAACCTTTGAATTCAGGAATGCAGTAAAACATCTGATTTGTGGGTCAGAGTGTGCAGAAATCACAGCTGTTAACTGTGACCTTGAAGAGGCTTTGCAGCTGCAGTTCTGTTGCAGCATTAAGAGTGCCCCATCTTTGTTAGGTTTTTGCACTTTGTGAAACGCCATACCTTAAACCCTGGGTTTGCATCCCCTTCCTTGTATTTATTATGGGCAGAATCAGATCTCCCAAGTCAATCAAACATGTCAGTCCTTTCCTGGTTGTTCACGGGACAACCCAAAGAGAGCAGCTTTGCAAACATACAGGGAACACGGTGTAGTTTTGTCAGTAACTTTAACATGTGCACAAGTAAGTACGTGCCAGATTTATGCACGTGAATCTGGACAGTCTTGCTGTAGAGTTTTCAGGACTAAAACAATTGCTTTGGTGTTGACAGCCAGAAGCTTCCATGTAAATAGATGCCTGTTGACATGCTCTGGCATTGGTGAGACGTTCCAGCGATAATGGTTTGCCAGGAAGCAAGGCTAGTGAAAAAAAAGCCAAATCCAATTAAAATGTATAATCAGGTAAGTGTGAGTTTTGGCAGTGAGACAGAATGACTCACTTTAGACATCAGTCAGGACACAAAGTAAAGACGTCTTTTTGTAAGAACTGGGACCTGTTACCAGCAACGTATGCTAAACTGGGCATCTCACCAGCTAGGTCCACCATCTGGAGACACTAATTCTACAGAGCATTACCTATGCAAATCAGATCCCATTTCCCCCAGTACTAACTGCTCCCTGATGAGTGTCCAAGCACTGGGCCATCCCAAAGGACAGTCCTGTGTGTTCAAGCTCAGGGAAGCTTGATCTGAGGTGCAATTTGATGTGTGGGAAAGGTCAGCCCCTACAAAATTGCGGGCAAACAGAGCTCCCAGGCAGCTGGAACAACCTCACTAAAGATCTGGGCTGCAGGAGGGAGAGCAGAGACAGAAGAGCAGGTGTTTTATGTCTATGGATGAATTTAAAGAGAATGTATCCTATGAAGAGGTTTTTATAAAGCCAATGCAGCAAGTCCAAGTTTTTCACCGAGACCTGATTGCTATTCAGCTTCATGAATAGCAGATAGCAAGAAGTCATGGAAACACATTAATTATAACACAGTAAAATGAACATGAAAACTGTAACAGCACTGAAGACTACCATACACCACAACTGAAACCTACAATTCTTTCCAACAGCCTTGCCAGTCTGCTTGAACTTCTTGACACCACTGGAAGGTATCTACAGGCTTGGAAGTAGCTCAGGAAATCATACTGCTCCCAGAAAATAAAATTAAAAAAACAAACCCAAGCCCTCACATTTGCTTATTGCCTGTAACACAAGACCTTCAAGTCGGGAGAGGACTTGGAAAGTAGAACAGCACAGGCTTCAGTTTATCACTGTAGACACAAGACATGTATCTAACTAAAGGCGTTATATAGAGGTCCATTACGGCCAGTGCCAACAAAAGAACCAGGATGAAGGTGAATAATCATATGAGGGATCAAGACACCTTCCCAAGAGGAGCTGTAGGAGTGTTCAGACAAGCAGGGTTTACTTCTTAAAGAAATTGTCTACTAAAGAGACACAGAATATTCCTGATTCACCTTGTTCCAGAACTTTATGACATGTAAATCTGCATAGTCTGTGTATAGTGTCCAATACAGTGGAAAAGTGTCAGTATAAAAATACTGCTCTCTTGCTCTTTGTCCATACTATGAGAAAAGCACAGTTTATTATAACAGGAAATAATACTTTATTATAAAATCTGCATGTAAACAAGTAACAAATTAATTGAATAACTGTTAATGGAAGTGCAAATTAACTTCATAAAATGCTATCTGTTCTGTACTTAACTGTATATATATAATTTGTTTTCTCCCATTCTAATGTGGTTCTACTCCATCCCTCCCTCCCCACATTTAAGTTTAAAAAGATTTATCATTGCTTGCTTTATACTAAAAAGAGTGTACGAGCCTGCGTACAAGTTTAAGTTTTGCTCTGCAAACAAGACAAGTCTATGGTGATACTTATCATCATCATTTCTTATCTTTGCATCTCTGGTATCCACAGGACAAGAGGATATATAACATATGTACACAGTGAAAGTTTGGGCATATCAAGCCACTTATTCAGAGTTAGTTCATTTACTTGCACACTTTGAAAGTTAAACCATTTATCAATGAAGCAGACAGTGTAGTGTAACTTCCAGACTTGCTTGTGCACCTTAAGGCATTAACGAGAGTCTTAATTGATAAGTCCTTCTTGTTATCACCATGAGGATCATCCAGACATTTCTCTTAGCAGTGCTTCTTCATCACCCACATGCAACACCTGCTTCTAAAGCACAGATAAGTCATGGCAAGACTTTGATTTTGCTTTGAAAGCCATCTTCTTATTGTTCTTTGCCACAATTCTCCCAAGGAATCGCTTTGCCTTTTTGCCTATGCTTTCTCTTCTCTTTGTGTTGGCCATTCTCCGGGCATTGTCTTCTTTACTGTCCTTGCGAAGTCTAATTTGCCGAACAATACCTTCAAACAGGTCCTTGACATTATGATGAAGAGCAGCGGAGGTCTCGATGAATTTGCAGTCAAACACAACGGCACAGGCCCGTCCCTCTGGAAGGGGAGAGGAAAAGAAGGAGATGAGTGAAGATGGACATTTTGTCTTCACATATATATGCAGAAAAAACAAAACAAAAGTTGACTTTAAGTAAGGAAAATGCTTTCAGTGCTACAAAAGAGCTTCACTACGTGGTAGGAAAGTGCAAATTCGCACTCATGGTTTTGCCCCCTTTACTTTTCTTGGGTTTGTTGGGGTATGGCCAGAAATCTCATTTGACCAATAGTACTGAATATAAGGCAACAATAGTCCTATAGGACTTGAGCCCTATAGGACTATAAGAGCTGAAGCTGATCTAGGAGAGGCACTTGGCTGTTTGATAGGAATTGGCGTGAGGTACAGAACCAAAGAGTTTTTACTTCTGGAAGTTGAGCCATTACACACCTCTGCCTTGCTGTGACAAATTACAAACGTTAGTTACAAACAAAACTGACACAGCCCACAGGGTCAAGTCATGGAACAGATCACTAGAGGTCATGAAGTTGTAGAGCCGTGGATTTGACTAGGACTGCATTCAAAATGCAAGACGGTCAATGTTCCAGACGTAAGAACAGAACTCTGAACATTGCTGCAGTGCAGCTTCCCCTGTTCTACTTGTGGTAAATAATGGCAAAGTTCTAAGCCTGAGCAAAGTCCTGATGTCACCACTAGCACAAGTCAACCATGACTATACAATAATATAGGCATGTCCCATTTTCATCCAGCGGTCCTGAGGTCAGTGGCTGTCATCCACCAGCCTGAGAAAAAGCGATAACCTCCTGAGGAACTCCAGTCAATTCCCTGCACAGGCTTTTAACACAGGAGCCGTAACACTGGGAAAATTCTCCCTGACAACTGCAGAGCATGCACAGAAAAGACTTGAAGTTGCATGAGCCTGGTCCCACCAGCGCAGATGGGATGGAATCACTCCCAGAAGAAGGGGGATTGTACAAGCTGGATGGGATCACCCTTTTCAGAGGCTGCTTGGCTTCTACGACATGGCATCTCTGCCCCTTAAAAAGCATAGTTGGTTTTTTTTTTATTATAGCTTAAAAGCTATGAAATCTTGATATTAGCAAGTGCTGCTGCACACATAATGTACAATTAAACTCTTTCAGTTAATACTGACTAAAAATGGATCCCACACAAAACAATCTGCTAAAGCTGCAGCTCTGAAGCTTTTTTTCCTCTTGTACTGCAATTTAGAGCATTGCTCTGAGCAGACAAATCTTCCCCCCGACACCATCTCCACTGGTTTTAGAAGTACTAAGTCTCTCAGCATGAGCCAGCGTGCCTCAAATCATACATTTTTCTACATCAAAATCACAGCATTTCTACCGACCACAAGCCTCCATAGCATTTGCTACTAATTTAGACATTACAGTATAAGTAAACAGTGTCTCTTACCATCAACTGAGACTTCCCGGGACCTGACCAGGTCGCTTTTATTGCCCACAAGAATAATGGGAATGTCTTCTGTTTGCCTTGCTCTTCTTAGCTGGATTCTTAACTCGGAGGCCTTTTCAAAACTAACTTTGTCTGTCACTGAATATACAATAATATAGGCATCTCCCATCTTCATGCAGTGGTTCTGAAGCCATTGGCTGTCATCCTAAAACAAAAGGCAGGAAATAGATTTAGTGTACTGAAAGAAAATCTGTTCAACACTGTCTGATTAATGATTTAATTATTGTAAACACTTTGAAAGTATTTTTCTTAGCTTTATTATAGTCAGTAAAAGTAAGCTAAGCTCTTTTTTATTATTATTTTGTTAATTAAAATATATTACAAAACAAAATCCTCTTGTTTCTAGAAATAATATCAGATGTGCACCGATCAGACTAAGTCTCCAATTTTCCAGTAACCCCCTGGGCTGCTGACGGGAGCCGCTGCTTATTCACAGCATCGGGGGCTCCACAATCTGGTCTTACTCAGCTCTTAAACTGCCTGTCCGGCTACAAGATACGAAAGCGGTAGGAATTCTAGTTGTTTTTACTGTTACCGATCTGCTGGGAGGAACAGGCAGACAGAGCTGTTGGACTTTTTTGAGCGAACCCCTGAGGAAGCCACAAAGAAATAACATCTAAGCGTGTCGGTACCTGCTCCCATATGTCGAACACCACGAGGGATGCTTCTTCTCCGTCCACGACAATGGACCTGTCGTATGTGTTTCCTGCGGAAAAGCGCAGAGAAGAGGCGTTATTCCTCTCCGTCCCCGCCGGCAGCCGGTGCCCGGGACCCCGCCGTCCCCCCCACACGGTGCCCGGTGACCCCGCCGCCCCCTTACCGGCTTCCTCCGCCTCCGCGCCGTCCTCCACGCCGCCGAAGATGCGGGCCAGGCTAGTCTTGCCCACGCCGTGCTCGCCCAGCAGGATCACCTTGTAGAGGTGGCCGTCGGAGTCGCTGCCCGAGGAGATGACGGAGTCGGAGGAGTCGGAGGCCCAGCTCTCCCGGTGCTCCCCGCCGGGGCTGTAGGAGGTGCAGCGCACCAGCCCGGAGAGCTCGCCCTGCGGCAGGGCGGCCCGCAGGTCCCGCTCGTCCACCGGCATGCTGCGCCGGTGCAGGTGCTGGTGTGCCGAGAAGGGCATGCTGCCCCGCCGCTTCTCCAGCCAGCGCACCTTGTCGCCGCGGTTCAGGGTCATGGGGCCGCCGGGGGTTGCGGGGAGAGAAGAGCCGTCGGCGCCCGCCGCTCCGCCGCCGCGCTTACCTCCGCCGAGGGAGGAAGGGAAGCTGTGAAAGAGAGAGGGATTCCCCGCCGGTAGTCGCCCGTGTCGCCGCGGGAGCTCCCCCAGCCACTGCTGCCGCCACCCGGCTCCGCGCAGCCTTTTATGGCTCCGCCGCCGCGGCCCGGCCCGCCCCGCCGTGACGCGGGGACGTGGGCAGCGCCTCCGCCCACGGCGGAACCCGGCGGCTCCGAGCGGGGCCGTGGGCTGCGAGGGGCTGCGCGGCCGGGATGGCCGGGGTCTGCCCCGCGGCTCCGCTTCTGCCCGTCCTGGGGGGTTCCCCTTCCTCGGTGAGGGGCTGCGCGGCCGGGATGGCCGGGATCTGCCCCGCGGCTCCGCTCCTGCCCGTCCCGGGGGTTCCCTTTCCCCGCGCTCCCCCGGAGGCCCAGCTCTCCCGGTGCTCCCCGCCGGGGCTGTAGGAGGTGCAGCGCACCAGCCCGGAGAGCTCGCCCTGCGGCAGGGCGGCCCGCAGGTCCCGCTCGTCCACCGGCATGCTGCGCCGGTGCAGGTGCTGGTGTGCCGAGAAGGGCATGCTGCCCCGCCGCTTCTCCAGCCAGCGCACCTTGTCGCCGCGGTTCAGGGTCATGGGGCCGCCGGGGGTTGCGGGGAGAGAAGAGCCGTCGGCGCCCGCCGCTCCGCCGCCGCGCTTACCTCCGCCGAGGGAGGAAGGGAAGCTGTGAAAGAGAGAGGGATTCCCCGCCGGTAGTCGCCCGTGTCGCCGCGGGAGCTCCCCCAGCCACTGCTGCCGCCACCCGGCTCCGCGCAGCCTTTTATGGCTCCGCCGCCGCGGCCCGGCCCGCCCCGCCGTGACGCGGGGACGTGGGCAGCGCCTCCGCCCACGGCGGAACCCGGCGGCTCCGAGCGGGGCCGTGGGCTGCGAGGGGCTGCGCGGCCGGGATGGCCGGGGTCTGCCCCGCGGCTCCGCTTCTGCCCGTCCTGGGGGGTTCCCCTTCCTCGGTGAGGGGCTGCGCGGCCGGGATGGCCGGGATCTGCCCCGCGGCTCCGCTCCTGCCCGTCCCGGGGGTTCCCTTTCCCCGCGCTCCCCCGGGGATGCCCAGAGAAGCTGTGGCTGCCCCATCCCTGGAGGGGTTCAAGGGCAGGTTGGAGGGGGCTTGGAGCAACCTGGGCTGATGGGAGGTGTCCCTGCCCAGGGCAGGGGTGGCACTGGGGGGGCTTTAAGGTCCCTTCCAACCCAAACCGTTCTGTCACAGGCGACAGGACAAGAGGAAATGGCCTCAAGTTGCGCCAGGGGAGGTTCAGGCTGGATATTAGGAAAAAATTTTTCACTGAAAGGGTTCTCAGGCATTGGAATGGGCTGCCCAGGGAGGTGGTTGAGGCACCATCCCTGGAGGTGTTCAAAAGCCGGGTTGATGTAGTGCTGGGAGGTCTGGTTTAGTGATGATGCTCCTTGTTTGTGGTGTGGGTGTCTATTTTTGTCAGTTAGGTTGACGGTTGGACAAGATGATCTTTAAGGTCCCTTCCAACCTAGAAGATTCTGTGATTCTGTGATTCTGTTATACGCAGATAGGTTTTCTAGCCTCTATATCGTTGTCCTGGTACAGGACAGTTGTTTGGGTACAGTCTTGCTGTCTAGCGTTAGGAAATTTTATTATTTTTTTTCAAATTTGCAGTATTTGCATCACTTCAAAAGTGCGTGCTTTACTTCACTTTTAGGAGCAGGTTATGAGAAAAACCTCTTCTACTGGGTGTTACACTCACATAGTAAGCTTGTCAGCGTGTCCACATGCGGTGTTAACAGGTTAAGAGGGCAATGTAAAACCTGAAGGTCACATTCTTCTCTTGATTTCACCTGAGCAGCGAAGTGAGAGTGAAAATCTTATCTCCCGAGTGGCACAGTCATGGCCGTGTGATGGGGCGAAGAACCCACTAACCAGATAGCTATCCTGCTATTCTGCAGGGCTCACCCAAGCATGGTGTATACAGTTTGGTGTTTACCTAGCAACCAAGAGTGAGAGACAGCCAGAATAACAGCGTGAGACAGCCAGAATAACCGCGTGTGAGACAGCCAGAATAGCCCTGGCTCCTGCCCCCGGGAGATACAGCCTGCTCGCTGCGGGAAAATCCCGGGCACTCTCCGCTGGACGCCTGCCAGCGGATTCGGGAAAGTTTAAGGGTTTACAAATCAGCTGCAGAAAGAGAACTAAAGGAGGCAAGAGATAGGGAGGTGATGGAAATTAAGTTATCGATGGAGGGAATAAAGCGAAGGAAGGAAAAGAGTCTGTGGGGTTGGGCTATGGGGTTGAATAGCCAGTAAAATATAGCATATCAACTCAGAACCGCCTTTTTTCTTACAACGTGTTAAACTTCTCAGGCCACTTAAGATAAACATGAAAAATACTTCAAAGGGACTGCCCACAGGGAATGGATTTTTTTTTTTTCCTAGAAAATAAGTGAGTGAATATTCTGCTATTTTCAGGAGCTAATTATAATTCCCCAGTGCAGGCTCTTGGGGTGGTTTTGGCCCCTGATAACTGCGGTTTGAAGTGTCAATGTGGCAGTTAAAGATCACCGAGTGCTTGCAGCAAGTGTTCTCTCCCCGTCTCACTAAACAGCAACCAAAATAGCCCTGTCAGTTCGAATAGTCAGAGTTTGGTGGTGAAACGAAGTGAGTGCTTCAGTTAACTGAATTAGAAACCTCTGGTTAGCATTTTTAAATAATATTTAAATAAATCAGGGTTAACATATGAAGTGCGCCGTGGGTACTTAACTTGGATAAACTGGAATCTGCCAAACCATCTCGATTAATCTGTATTTATATACAGTTAATCAGGTAAATACAGTTTGGAAAAGGTTTGTCTTCAGCCAGCTTCTTAAAAATGTGAGTGTTTCTGCCTAAAATTCTCACCTAAAAATATTCTGAGTGGGTTTGTAAGTCTTTCGGGGCAGTCTTTTCCCGCATGCCTCCGCTGTGTGTCAGGGTCAAACTTTAGAAGTTGACACGTGAAGTGGGGGTATTTTTAATTCTTTTTCTGTGTGAAAGGGGGGAAATCTGAGAAGCCTCAGAACTGAAGACCCAGGGTCACTTCAGTGCCACATATAGCACCTCTGACTAGAACCAAACTAAAAAGGGGAGTTCCACTGATGGGACGTAAAGAAGCCGTATTTTATTCCAGGCCTTTTGCTGATGAGAATTAGGAATATTTTAATGATGTAAACGCGAGAGAGACCCCTTGGTAGCCAAAATAGAACAGGAAAGGCATACGTAAAAGTGCTAAATAAAAACTTTGAGAGGCCGGTGTTTCAGCAGGGAAAGTGACTGAAAATAAAAGAATACCTAATAGAAATCATACCAAAAAAATTCAGGACTCTGTTCAGACTCCAAATTCTTGTTTTGTGCCAGCACCCAGGTACGACTAATGAGTTGCTGGTTACAGAACACCGCCCCGGTCACAGGACACCGCTGGGCATCTGCCACCGCCTCCTGCCAGATGGCCTTGAACGGAAAGTGAGATGGCCTTGGGTGAGGTCCCCGGGGGCTCCGTCGGGTCCCCGGGGGCAGCGGTGCCAGGGCAGGGAGGTCTGTCCCCCCCCAGCCCCAGGATTTGTGCCCAGAGCCAGAGACGGGGGGGGAGATCGTGTAACTGGGTTATCTCCTTTGATCTTAATAGGTCCAGCTATTTTGTGAAGTTGGAAGGAATTAACAGATAATTCAGGTTAATCACTTGAGACACTTAACGTGCCTCTTCACATAGCTTGTAATTCTGCTTGCTGTTAACTGCTGCCACATATCCATGTATACATTCCCCTGGCACCTGCTGCCTTCAGGGGGACTCATAAGACCACAGGCTTGAAATGCTGATTTTCTTCTTGCTTTGAAGGATTTTCAGGCCGTCTCCTTTCTCACCTACCCTCCATTTCCACTTCAATGCGACTGTGCTTTAAGCAGATATATTAACTGTAATTTATTTCTATTTAAAAGAGATTTTCCTGTCTTGCTTTTTTACTCTTTTTTTTTTTTGAGACACGTCAGTGTCCACTCCTAGTGTGCTCTCTTGGCCTGAGTACTTTTCATCGTATGGAAAATGGAAAACGTGCAGTCTGATCCTCTTTTTCCAGTTATTTATTCCTGGGGTAATAAGGTTTGTGCCAGGAGTTTCTTTATGCTCTATGAGGTGCAGAGTGCATTTCACAGCCTAGATGACAAGCACAGACTTTGCAGGGGATGCAGTGATAACTAAGCATGTATAACCTAACACCTAACCTCCTTCCTTTCAATTTTCAGATAAAAAAGCAGAATGTTGGTGGTTGAATTAACTATATGTGATTCTACCTCATCAGTGTTTGTTCAGGGCCAAATGCCGTATTAGAAATAGCATTTATATTTTTTACATTAAATTAATATTATCGCTGAAAGCCAGTTTTTGGTTTTGCTGCTGTCTTATGTTGGAATTGTTTCACATTTAATTAGGAATAATAGAATTTTTTTGTACGGTGCAAGGACTGGGTTAGCAGCAGTGAGGTTTGGGAGGAAGCGTTGTTCTCAGCGTGGCTCCACGCTGGAAGACGTGGGTTTCTCCTCTCTTCACTTTTCAACTCATCTGCACTGCCTCAAGTCTAATTAATCAGCCATTATGTGGGTGAAGTTATTTCTATACAAACTCCAGAGAGATTCACAAAGGTCTGTTCTTGCCAAGTTACATGAAGCATTACTCCTGCAGAAGTATGAGTCTGGCTACCTCCCAAATACCTGCACTAAACCAGAAATAGCAGCATTTATTATTATTTTAATTACAGAACTGACAGTCCCAGGCCAGTGGGAGAAGAGACAGAGGCAGCAGTAGGAAGTGTGTTGGGTTTTTTTAACCCAAGCAAGAAAGATAGAGAAAAATTGTGAAAAAAACAACAAACCCAAACGTATTTTTCCTTATCCTACAAAAAGTAGGACATGGTGTAAATACGGTGTCAAGTTTTCCTCACCATCACCCTTAAAAGTACAAATTAGTGTGTGCTGAACAGTTAAAGGGCTGACTGGTTCTGTTTGTGGGTTGTATGTAAATAGGTGATAGACCTTTTCAGGGGTAGCATCTGGTCTATTGCATTACC